TGACTTAAATAATTCAGAATAGTGCCACCATGCAGAATTAAACATCTGCCTCATGTGTACAATTTCCTTCTGATGGAGAAGAGGAAACACTATTTAAGAAACAGCATTAAATGTTGCTGCAGTAATTTTTTTGGATGGGCAAAATCCTCTGTGAATGAGGAAAAATATTGGAAGGATACTGTATTAAGAAAAGCCTGCATTATAGGAGCTCACAGAACCCAAGGCAAAAGTTCTATGTAAGATTTTAGCACTCTCACTGCTTTTAATGCTAAACACTAAAACCAGGAAATAACAGGAAACCATAAAGTACTAAGCTAATATTAGTTCCTTGCAGGAAAAAAAAAAAATTAAAATTTTAAGGCACTGGTAAGGTCAAAACCATGTTTTCTTTCTCAAAACTCCGTTACTTCACTAATATTCATAATTACTTTTTCCAAACATATATCGCTTTACTTTTATATAAATAATACATGTTGATTGTATTATATTCAAACAATACTGTGAAGTATAAGGGAATAAAACTCACCTAAATTGCACCACCTGCATAGATAGATATGCATTTTGGTAAGCATCCTTTCACAAATCTCTATGCATATCCACACAGTCATCCACATAATTTTACCTACTTGGAATATTATACATGATTCTTTTATTATGAACACATTTCATTCTCTTAAGAAAAAGTAACAATAAAAAATTTAAATGACAACTGCACAAGGTAAGAAAACAGTGTAAACCGCACAAAATGGTCTCAGAAGACAACATTTTCTCTACCAGTCATTTGTTCTCAATCTGCTGAGATAACACTTTGAAAACCCTCTGCTTTTTTATTTCTTCTGCTGGCTTTCATTTTCAATTTAAATAGTCTTCCTTCAAGTAATCGTCGTGTGAATCTCTTAGCTGATCTGTGTGATGAGCAGAGGTTCCTCTGATGAGATAGCTGTTCAATTTGCAGTAATTTCCAGGGGAGAACACTCAGGGAGCCCTCCTCACTGCTGCCATTTCCAAAATGTCTCCCCTCAATTTAAACAGTCTTATTTTTGTATTTTTGAATTATAAATTATAGAAAAATAGCAGTTGATTCCATTAAACAAAAGTTAAAATTTGGCATTCTTATACTACCGCTCAACTTTCGCCCTCTTCAACTCCTGATTTTACTTAGTATCATCATTTTTACATTAAGATTTCTAACATTTACATTTTTATGTAACAATAACTAGGTTTTCCCTTCTTGTCTAAGTCAATATTGAAATTTTAAACCTACTAAAATGCAGTTACAGAATTATGATTAAGGGGTCCTTAAAGAAAGAAGTGTAACCCTATGTCTTAATCATGTAGCTCAAAGCAGACTGTCCCAAAATGACAATTTTTAAAAGCTTTATTTCACCTTTTATAACTGTATAACTTTTATGATTTTATTTTTGTAACAGTTTCTTATTTATACCTCATATTGTATACTTTCTTGTTTTTCTTTGTTATGCTGGAGAAATTACTCAGAAAACTTTCTTCATACGGAATATTGGGGGTGAAATTTCTGGGTCCATGTCTGAAAATATCTTTACTTTGCTTTCACATCTATTGATAAAATAGCATAGAATTTTTGGCCCAAAATAAGTACCCCCTATGAACTTTGATGACATTAATTATGATGACCTCATTTGCTTCCAGTAATTGGGACTGATGCTAAGAACTGGTTCTAGTTCTAGATTGTCCCTTTAATCTCTTTGGAACTCTAAGATTTTTTCTCTCTTTATTCTCGTTGTTCTGACCAGCATATGTCTAGGTGAGTCTTCTGCCCATTTATTCTGATCAATTTCAGTAGGTCATAGCAACCCCAAGACTCACATGAAATGGTTTCTCTATTATATCTCTTTTTAAATTTTGAAGCTCCTATTAGAAGAAGGCTGTTGCTCACTTTGAATCTATTCACCATTTTGACTTATTTTTCACCTCTTTGTGTTTTTACTATGTTATAAATATTTCCTCCACTTTTTCTTCCAAAGGAATAACTTAATTTATGCTCCAGCAATTAATACTTAATTCTATATCACAATTCTATTTTCAATTGCTAAGCATTGTTTCTTATTCTGTAACTATTCCTTTTAAAGTAGCCTATTCTAATTTTATGGACATAATGTTCTCCCAAGTTCCACTAACTTAATAATTACAATTAAAAAAAAAAAGTTCTCTGCTATAATCTGAGCTTGGTGCTTTGGTTTATGTTGCTCTTTCTTTGACATACATGTGATAAAAAAAATATGATGAATGTTTAAATAAAATTAAATTTATTACAGTAAGATGCATGGCTGTTAATCCCCCTCAAAATATTCCCCCTCACTTTGAACACACTTATCCCGTCATTCATGCCACTTTCTGAAGCAGTTCTGGAAGTCCCCTTTCGAGGGTGTCTTTAGTTGCACTGTCATGGCTGTCTCGATGTCCTGCATCATTTTGACTTTGGGGAAGAGCCAGAAGTCGCATGTAGCTGGATCTGGTGAAAAAGGTGGGTGAGGACATACTGTAATGTTTTTATTGGGTTGTGGAAAAGTCATGAGGCATGTTTGCAACAGATGGCACTAGTTCATTTTTGGAAGTACTAGAGTCATTCGCATCTATGTTATTGCTATGTCATTTGACAGCTGACAGTTCTAGCTTCATTCTAAAAAAAATTGAGCGATTTGGTTGAGTTTTGGAGATTTTACAAGTTGTAGATGGAAGACCAAACTGTGCATTTTTGCCGTATTTTACTGTTTTACTTTCATAAAGGGAAGAACGCATGTCAAGCTTGTAAAAAGTTGCATAAAGTTTACGGTGACAATGCTCTACAAGAACGTCAGTGCCAATGATGGTTCACGCAATTCCCTGCTGGTGATTGTGATCTTAACGATGCTCATCAGTCAGGGAGGCCTACCAAGGTTGAAGACGACAAAATAAAGGCATTGATCAAGTCAAACCCCCGTTACATGACACGAGAGATTGCAGAAACACTGACCATCATTCAAGCATTCTCGACCACCTGAAGAAGCTGGGATACATAAGCAAGCTCAATATTTGCGTTCCGCATGAACTCAAAGAAGTTCATTTGACAGGGCGTATAAACACCTGCAATATGCTCAGTGAACGTGAGGAAAACGATCCTTTTTTGAAGCGAATGATACTGGTGATGAGAAGTGGATTGTTTATAACAACGTGGTGCGCAAACGGTCTTGGTCCCAACGTGATGATTCGCCTCAAACAACATCGAAAGCAGGCATTCATCAGAGGAAGGTTATGCTCTCTCAGTGTGGTGGGATTTTAAAGGTGTCGTGTTTTTCGAGCTCCTACCAAGGAACCAAACAATCAATTCGAATGTGTACTGTCAGGAATTGGACAGTTTGAACAAATCCATCGTCCAGAGCTTGTTAATTGTACAGGAGTTGTGTTCCATCATGACAACGTGAGACCACACACAAGTTTGATCACCCGTCAAAAATTGTTGGAGCTTGTTGAGATGTTGGGATGTGTCACCTCACCCACCATACTTGCCTGACCTTGTGCCGTCAGACTTACACTTGTTTCGCTCTCTTCAAAACTCCTTGCATAGTACAACGTTCGGTTCAGATGAGGCTGTAAATCAGCACCTTGTTCAGTTTTTGGCAAATAAAGACAGGTCCTTCTATGAACGAGGAATTATGAAGCTCACTGAGAGATGGCAAAAGGTTATTGAACAAAACGGGCAATATATCATTGATTGATCTTTGTTCTTTATAAAAATAAGTGATCTTTGAAAAACACAGACAAAATACGTCATGACTTTCCCTACAACCCAATATTTGACAGAAATTGCCATATACCAAAGCAATGTGTGACACGGGGCCTTTCTGTTGTGATCACAAAATATGGTGAATGCTGATGCCAAGTGCTATCCAACAGAAAGACAGGGATTTTCAATACAGAAAGTGGTGCATCGAACCTTAGTAACAGTGTGTGACAAGTTTCAACTTGTTTGGTACAGTCAGTCGGGTATAAGCTAGGATTGAGAGGTGTGTTTTAAAGTGTGCCATAAATCATCCTCCATCATGACAACACTCCATGTCACACATCGCTTCTGGTAAACAGCAATTTCTGTCAAATAAAAACATTACAGTATGTCCTCATCCACCTGATTCACCAGATCAGGCACCATCTGACTTTTGGCTCTTCCCCAAAGTCAAAATAATTCAGGACATCGAGGCATCCACGACAGAGCAACTAAAGACACTCATGAAAGAGGAATTCCAGAACTGCTTCAGAAAGTGGCAAGAACGATGGGATAAGTGTGTTCAAAGTGAGAGGGAGGTATTTTGAGGGGGATTGATGGCAATGTGTCTTTTACAGTAATAAAATTTTAAAAATTTAAACATTGACCCAATTGTTTAATTATACCGTGTATGCTATGAGTTTTCCTCAAATACCTTATGATCCTTGGGTTTGGTTGATTTTTTTGGAGGAAAATATTCCACACTTTTAAAATTTTTATAATTCTTTTCTTATCTAAAGTTGAGTAGAGGGAAGAGAAAAGCACTTCAGTTTTTCTTTACCACTTAAGTTTTAAATAATATTCAACAAATTCTTCATTATTCAGAAGAATCTAGGAATTTGTTTCCTACTCATAGAAATGCAGGGGAGTAGAGTGAAAGGAACAGAATGTCTCCAAGGTAGCAACTTGATTACCCTCCAATTTTATCATCTGCAATCATCATGGGTTCTTCATGTTTGTATGTAAATCTGAAATACACCTTACTGTCAATCTTAAAAGGTACAAAATCATCAACAATTAAAAGTGCATATTTAGCATTAAAATTAGCCTACATTTTCTTCCCTCTGTATGGTCCCCCAAATTCTACTTACATTTGTTGTCATTTTTAGAAATGAGTTCTTATTGTCCCACTGAGAATGATTCAAATGATAGAAGTCCATTGGCTTTGCTGTTAAAAGGGTGAGTAGAGAGTGTGTGGAAGAACAGCTTGGCACCCTCTTACCTGCTGCGTGGTGCTGGTGACGATGCCTTGCTGGAGGCGGTAGGCCTGCTCTTGAAGGTACTTTCTAGTCTCGTGATTCCGGAGCAGATAGTTTTCTATCTGAAAATTAAGTAAATGTCTCTCTCAAGAACATATTTTGACTCAGCAGAGAGTAAAGTTATAAGTGAAACAGTCAGTTGCTGAACTTAAAATCAAAGCACTAATTCACACATCCTGCCAGTATCTTGACCCCACAAAACATTACGAGACAAGGAAACTGGCTATCACTGTGAGGCATCATTGGTGGTTTTAGTTAGAAAGTTAACTTGCAGGTAACTAGAGTAATTTTTATGTGACTCTGTGGTTGACAAAGACAAGCAAGTGTTTAGCTACCTGCAAATTTAAAGACCACATTTAGTGATTTTTCATCACTCTCCTGCACACATTTCAATTTTCTCTCTCATAAAATTTTAACCATTGAACAGTTCAGAAGTTAAAAGAATATCCCCGAGGGGTATGGGTACTCTGTGAACCTCTTAGCCAGTGGCAGAATCCACCAGCAGTTAGGAAATTATTTGAGGGAAAAAAAGGAAAAAAATAGGTACAAAACTTGAAGATAGGCTGGTAGAACTCAAAGACATATTAGTTTCATTAATCTACCAGGTTTTCATACTTTCTCGCAAACAGGTGTGATTTCAGCAAAATTACATAAAAAATGGATTTCCACAGAAAATGAGAAATCTTGAAGTTGAATGACAATGTGTATTTCTAAACACAACCTCCTATGAAAAATTCAAATGTACAAATGATAACTCGGTTGAAATAAAGCATTTAAGAAGAACAACATGCAATGGATATACGTCGAATAAAAATACAGGGTTAACGACTGGGAATGATGGGTACCTAGGAAGATGTATTTTAAAGAATAATGAGATAATGAGGTAATCGAGCCATCTATTTCTTTTTTCAGTTGTTGTTTTTGTTTGTTTTGAATAACACCACTTAACCGTTTGGCTTTTAATTTGTCATGGTGGCTCCCTATGGCTAAGAACTTCTAATAATTGTGAAGCTCTCAGGATTTATTACATTTCCATTTTCCTTACGCTAAAATGGCTATTACCTAATACCAATTAGGAACAGTGAAAATACAGACTAATTATTATCATCCCTGGAAACTATAAAGCAGGACAAAATGTACCTTTCTACAAAACTTAAATGAAGAAATTATAAAAACAAAGACATCCCTGAAACGTCATTAAAGCGATACATTAGTTTTCTCTTGCTGCTCCCCAAGAAGTCATCTCTTTCCAAGTCGACACTACCATCAATGTAAAATGTTTTTGCTAAAAAGATTCTGAAACACACTGCCACCAGCCTTGGTGCTTCTGTTTTATGTTCTTTTACACTTGGCGTTGGGAAGCACTGGCTGTGGGCCAGTTCTGGGAGGAGACTGTTGACTCAGGAGGTTCAGCTCACTGCACAGGTGGTGCCCAAGGCCAGCCCACACATTTCTAGACCTTCCCCAAGTGCGCCAACGGTGCTGCACAGACCAAGCCTGGAGGGAATGTTTTAGAAAACAATATTCTATGCTCATTTCTAAAAGCCACTGTAAGAGGAAGAAAGAATAGCAATGTTTGATTGTCTTTAATACCAGTCATTGACACATCACCACTGGAAGTATTTGCATCTTGCATCAACAGGGTAAACTTCCCCTTCCATGCACCATTCCAGACAAGGACAGAGATCCCACCTCCCAGGGGCTAAAGACAGAGGGCCTGACTCAGGTCAGATGGAAAGGAAAGGGCCAACGGAGTCATGATCTTGTTAGAAGAACCCTGGGCAGCAGAGGGAGACAGCCTAGAGCCAGTTAGACATCTCCATCCCACCACTGAAAACAGCAGTGGCACAAGAGGCAAAAAATCCCTGTGTTTTAATAAATGAATCTTGTGTTTAAAAAAAATCTTATAAGATTGGTTATAGAATAACAATTGTTCTTTAGTAGAGTAAAATTAAAGAGCCATATTTCTTCTAGGGCAGGGGTTGGCAAACTTTTGAGACGGAAGAGCCGCCAGGGGTCAGCAAACTGCAGCTGTGAGCCTCTGAAGTAAAATTGAAAATGAAAATAAAACTATNACACAAATGGATAAGAAAATTACTTGATATATCACTGGTTATTAAAGAAATCCAAAAGACAAAATGAGATTTTTTTTAACCCATTATACTGACAAATATTAAAAGTTAATGTACTTATACTGGTGACCATGTAGCAAAATGAGCAATTTCCTACATTACTGGAGAACAGTTTGCAAATTTGTACAAAAGTATAAAATGTATGTATCATTTGTCCTAGGAACGGGTCAATTATAGGCATTTAACCTAATGGGATTAACCAGAATTTAGAAAATAAATTATGCTGACTGTGAGGTCACAAAAAACTATATATCTATGTCTCTGCCCCCAGTTCCTAGCATAGAGCTCCTGAAACCTTGTAATTTCCTGGGTGACAGGAGTGTCTTCTCTTCTGATGAGGCGACTCTGGGTGGGTTCCTGGATGAAAATCGGTCACTGGAAAGACCAAACCATGATTAGAGGGTTGGAATTTTCAGCCACATCCTCCATTCTTTTGAGAAGGAAGAAGGGCCGAAAAGAAAATATATGTGATGAAGCCTCCATAAAATCCTGGGGTTCAGAAAGCTTCCAGGTTGCTCAACATGTGGAGATGCTGGAAAGTGGTATATCCGGAGAGCGCATGGAAGCTTCATGCCCATACACACATACCTTACCCTACACAGTCTTCCATCTGGATATTAATCTGTATCCTTTATCATATCCTTTAAATATAAGTTCTGTGAGCCGCTCTAGCAAATTAATGAAACCTNTTTTCTAGTGTTTGCAATATACATTTATAAATAACCAAGCCCACATTTCACAAGTAGTGCAAGTCTCTTATAACAGAGTATTGCCAATTTCTCCCTCTTGCCAATTTCGCATCTCTTATAGCAATGCTATCTTAGAAAGTCTTCATTTCTTTACTTTTGAAGGAAAATTTCACTAGATACAGAATTCTAGACTGCTAGGTTTTTCCTTTTAACACTTTAAACATTTCACTCCATTCTCTTCTTGCTTGTATGATTTCTGACTAAAAGTCTGATGTAATTTTTTTCCATATTTCTCAATATGTGAGGTGCTTTTTTCTTCTGGCTGCTTTCAAGATTTTCTCTATCTTTGGTTTTCTGTAATTTGAATATGACATGACCACAGGTAGATTTGTTATCTTGGATTCCTGGATCTGTAGTTTGGTGTCTGTCATTAATTTTGGAAAATCCTCAGCCACTATTATATCAGATATTTCTTCTTTCTCTTTCTTTTCCTTACATAGATGTTTCAATCTTTTGTAATTGTCCCACAGTCCTGGGATATTCTGTTCTATTATTTTTTTTCCTGTTTTTTTTTTCTCTTTGCATTTCAGTTTGGGAAGTTGTTACTGACATATCTTCAATTCAACAGTTCTTTCCTCAGCTGTGTCCCATCTACTGATAAATTCAGAAACGTCAGACACCCAGTGAAAACTATATGTTAAGTGTCTGCTAAACATAGTTACTGTATAGCTTTATTTTTCCTATTTGTACAGTTGAAGACACTAAAATACAGAAAAACTAAGTAACTTATTTAAGTTACAAAGCTGGGTGCAGTCTGATATAGTCAAATTTTCTAAATCCAAGTCTTGGATGATTTATTTTGCGACATGTCAGCTTTCGCTTCTCCCCACTCCCAATCTTATTCTCTTTTATTCAATTAATGTTTCAAGAACATCCAAGCATGCACACCAGGCACAATGCCAGCTAACAAGAATAAAATATTTTGAGAAGTACATAGGCTCTGCATTGAGGAGCTCACAGTCACTGGGAAAAAAAGAATATGGAGGCAAGTAACTTAAAACAATGTCAGAAGGCCAGTGACAGAGAGAAGCACAGGGAATTCTGAGACCACCACTTACCCATGAAGGAAAGGGGCTCTGAGAAGTCTCCCTAGATGAGCTGACACTTGATTTCAACCTCACAGACATGCAGGGTAGTGGGGAAAGCGTGAGTATCGTCTAGATTAGAGCAGTGATTCTCAAACTTCATAACGAGAGCTTGCGAACATACAGATTGCTGAGTCCTAGTCCAGTTTCTGAGGCCCAAGAATTTGTATTTCTAACAAGTTCCCAGAAGTTGAGCATAACAAAAAGTAACAGTTGGTAGGATATGAAGCCAGAGGGAAACTGAAAGCAGATGCTGGACAAAATTTCACACCATGTTAAGGAGACCAGGCTTTCTTCTAAAAGCCACTAGAAGGGATGGACTGGGGAGGGGTGGACTGAAGACTTTAGTCTGTTCAAATTCACTGTGAAATAAAATGGCAATTTTTGACTGCAACATGGGAAACAGACAAAAAGAGGCAAATGTGACAATAATCCTGGTGCAAGTGCTGAGGTATGAACAAAGGCATCTTTGATAAGAATAGCGGGGAGGAGAGCTAATGCAGAGATTTATGCTCTAAAATCTGTAACTGTGGTGACTGATTGGCTAAGGAAGGCATGAGAAAGGAGAGTGAAGCTTGGGAGATGAGATGGAGAGTGGGACCACCAAGGAGNTTATAAAATTTTTAAAGGCTATTATTCACATAATGGTGATTATGTAAAAATATATTTATGGCTCTCGAATAATTTTTAAATTGTTGTGAATAACAGGATTGGCTCTTCTAGGGGTTGGCAAACTTTTGAGACGGAACGTACTCAAAGAGCTGCATGTGGCTCATGAGCCGCAGTTTGCCGACCCCTGTGAATCTAGAGGTCAGAGTTCTGTTAAAATGTAGACTTGAATACATAAGAGCATAGTACTATGGGATAAAAAACAATAAAGATGAGCTTTAAATCACCAATTTTTCATTAAAAACCCCCACAAATTTTATAATTAACCCATTGGCATCCTCCTTTGCCCTTTGCCCCCATTTTGTGTGTCTGTTTTTAGTTTCCTGACCTGTAAACCTGTCTTGCTACAGTTGGATTAGTATCTACCATGTTTGTAACTGTTTTCTATTTATTGTGTTTATTCTTTTCTTCTATCTTCTTTTTCTGCCTTCTCTGTTTTTTTGGTTTTTTAAAAAGATTTTTATTGGGGAATTGAAGAGGGGAACAGTGTTGGGAAATTAGGGAAGGGGAACATTGTTTTTCCAGGACCCATAAGCTCCAAGTCAAGTTGCTGTCCTCCAATCTTAGTCGTGGAGGGCTCAAGCTCAGCTCTAAGTACAGCCCCCTAGTTGTGGGGAGGCACAGTTCACCATCCCATGCGGGAGTCGAACCGGCAACCTTGTTGCACACTGAGCCATTCGGCTGCCTGTTGGCAGTTCGCGGCTGCTCAGCTCAAGGTGCTGTGTTCAATCTTAGTTGCA